ACTCAACGTGACATTTACGAATGTGACATGGTCTCGACTTAATTCCAAGTCGAATGACCTGGTCTGTGTGTTCATCGTTGGTTCAACGATTGTTGGGCTGTTGGAATTGCTTGAACTCGTCGTGATCGAGAAATGCGAGTCAAAGCCATGACGAGCTTGGTGGTGCAAAATCGTCGTCAGTGAGTTCTGACCCCCGCTATGTAAATATTATTTCGTAATTACCGAAAAAATGTGAGTTTTTGTGTTTAAGCGTGAGTATTATTTGATAGTTGAATGTTATTGTTGGCCTTAGTGGTGGATTAAATCCATAGTTATGGAGTTTAAATTAAAACAAGGCAGTTGATTGCCTGAAGCATAATACTTGACAGTCTGATAGTATAACACAAACCGCTCATTTTTGAATCCACGAGACCCTTTGTTACCAAGCATAACGAACCTTATGTGGCGACTCTTTAAAAATGATTGAAATTATTCCTGCAAATGTTTTGCTAGAGTTCTAGAAATGCGTTCTAAATTCAACTAGCATTGAAACTGCAGCAACGAACAGGTAGTGGAACATCCAAGAGGAATGCATTTGTTGTGTATCGTGTTATTGAGAGGAGAACTTGAAAACGTGCACTCAGACCTAACCCAGCAGATCAAAGCTGGAATTGTGGCTGCAGTCGTTCAGTGGAATTTGTCGGTGCTGCCCCAGCATCCAACTTCTTCATTGTTCTTCCTCCCAAACTCTCTGAAATCTCGGATTTTGATGTGATTCTGTAACCCCGATGTGTTAATCATTTTTCGAATCCGAAACCCTCGTAAATATGCCTGTAATTATTCAGTCTTTTCCTTTTTTTCAAATCTGTTACGCATGTGGGGTTTCTCCGAATTCCGTGTGCGACTCGTTGCTTTTTATTGTACATTTCAGACCGCAACGTTTGCCTAACCCAGCAAGTACGGAGGCCTACGTTGAGTCGGCGCTGTTCTCCCTGGATCCTCCACAGAAGTGCTTCAACGCCAGCTACGGTCTCTTTCGCGGACAAATCAGCACCCGAGTGCCGGATCGTGGCGACCTCGTGAGAGCTGGCTTCGCGCATCTGCGCTCACCCGAGCACACCCACTTCGGCTTCCTCGCGGAGTACAACTTCAACCCCTACACCCACCTCATCATCAGGTGAGCCGGAATGCATGCGCCATCTTCCCCACTTCTGCGAAACTCATTCACTCTACAACCTTAAACCATCTTGGCATTAAGTCCTCGGGAGGGTAATTTAGGGTGGTTGTTACTGCGTTGGTGTAATGACCGCACGGCAGTCGTTAAATGTCAGATGAGCAAGCAAATGTAGCCTCCGAGAATGCGGTGTGCTTCATTGTTCGGCCGTTTTGGGTTCAGGTATCGCGGTGACGGCAGGACCTATCGACTGAACATCCACCCCAGGTCTGATTGGGATGTCTTCTGGTTCGACATGCACCAATTCCCGCTCTACACACGAGGCGGTCCCTACTGGACCATAGCGAAGATACCCTTCTCGGCGTTCTACCTGTCAAACAAGGGCCAAGTGGTGGATCGCCAGCACCGACTGCCACTGACGAACGTGCGAATGATCTCCTTCACCCTGGCCGACCGCATCCCTGGACCCTTCGCACTGGAAATCGACTACATTGGTCTTTACTATGACATGTTCCACAAAGAGATGTTCGCCTACGAGCAGTACGATTCACCTGCCATCTTGAAGTGAGCTTTCACCGCCTTCGCACCTTTCACTCCAGATATGTACATAGAATTGAAGTTTCCGGTTTACGATGTGCTTCCTTTGTCTAAATAAAAAGCTGAATGATGATGTGCGTCAGCTCTTTGGAACTACTAAAGTGATCTACCCCGCTGAGGTGCGTGTACTTTGGAGTTTGGAAAAATTATGACGTCTTGTAGGGAATTACCAGGTTGCTAGAACATGTGTTGCGTGTGTGTGTTAATGTATTTTTACGCGTACATATCTTGACTGCACACGTTTCAGGCTGAAATTTGACAATCTTGTTTTATGAATCTAGTACAAGAATCCTAACTTTTACTTCGGATCAGGCAAAAGAAAAATTACACCGTTTCTCTCGCTTTAATCTCTAATTCCTGAACTGGACATGCTGCAGGTTCTAACTCTCACGAGATACTCTCTGTTCAATGTCGAAAAAATCCTTTTTTTGACATCTGGCAGGAATTCTTCCATTGTGGAGAAAAAGAGGCTGACTTTGTTCTGGCCGTGGGGATTTTAGCTAGTCACTTTCTTCCAGGATGAAACATGGAGGGTGGACGCTGTCGTGGCTTTTCGTGCTCTGGTTCTTTCTAGATTAAAACGACCGATTAGTTTGTGGGAGATATGGAAGGTGGCTATATCTCTAGCTCCGCTATTAATGCTGTTAAATCCCCGGTGTGGTTTGAGTCAACATGCCAGGGACCGCAGTAATAGGTGACTCCGACGTGATTGGCCGCAACAAATTGATTTATTGATACGGTAGTAGCGGAGTTGTTACAGGCTAATAAGTCGTAAGTTTATTTTGGATTGCTTAGTATCGATCTCTGAACGAACAAAGCTACTTGTGTTGTGAGCCCCAGCTTGCGGTCTAGAACCACGCCGGGGCCACGGAATTACCCCTGGTCCGATTACGTTTCCCTGATACCCACGATGAAGAAAAAGATCCGCGAGGACGTGGACACAGCCGTTTAGTTCAGAGCTCAACCACGTTGGTGTCGTTGTGTTGTGTGTGGGGTTTGCGCGTGTGTATTTGTACCTCGGATGTGTGAGTTATGCATGCGCTAACATCGAGACCTAGGTGTGAGGATAATCCAAATAACCGTGTGAATGAGGAGGCAGTTGGGGATTCGTGCGGCTGGCGAAAAGGGGAACCCTGTGTCGGATGTGGAGCGACCGGATTAAGGGGTGTGAATAAACACGATTCACAAAACTTGAATTGTATTTAGGTAAATAACTGGCCGACAAAATACCACAAATTGTTGAAAGTTAGGAGCTCTTTTTGCATCCGCTCTGCCCCACTATGAAATCAACTTCTGGACCAGAGGTGTGTGTATTTATAAGTCAACTGAATTCCATTTTTTTCTGGCAGAATCGACAAGCATTTGTGCACAAAACGCTGTTCGCTCCAAGTTTTCACAGTTCACTTGCTGGCCGAAATATTTAAGAAGTCGAGTTTAGCTACGGTTGGCAGACTGTTATGCCTAGGCCATCACAATGAGGGTACACGTTTCGTTAAAATACGATGGGTTTTCTTCCGTCAAATGTCTAGGTACCAGACACACCCTATGCATGCGAAACCGTAAACATTCATTCATGGGGGTGACCGATTCGACAAACGTCAGTCAAGTCACCTTGACGTGCCTCGACGTCTCTATGCAAGCCGATTAAGTTCTGCACTTTGTTACCAAAACTACTTATAGGTATCTATCTTGACTCTCATTGGATATACTACTGAAATATATGCACGTTAGTAATGCTTTTCCAAAAAGGTTAGTCTTAGTGGTTTCTGGACGTATTCAAGTGTCACATACAAGCTAGGCAAAATTTATTGATAAGATGGATAACCTCGAATGCATTGTTACATAAACGAATAATCCAGCCCTAACTGTGTAGCAAATGGTGACACGAATAAAACCGTCCAACTGTCATTTTTATGCCTTCCTGGTCCGCTAGTCTCCTTTCATGTTTAATAGGCTACTTTCAAAGATAATTGAGATCCTTAAGGTAAATACGAAGCCTTAAGTACTGGGTGTGCTTCCATTCAGGTTGGTTAGTTGTTGCTGTCTAGCGAGAATGGATGAACTCAACTTGCGTCTGAAAAGTCAGCTTTAATTAGTTAAAAAGGTAAAACAATTGCTTGAACTGAAGGTTAAGGTGCGTCCTTTACACAAATACAATCAGAATTGTTTGTGTGGTGTCCTTTGTGCATTAACTATTACTTTAACTTGTTGTGAATCGAGTTTATTCACACCCCTTAATCCGGTCGATCCACCACCTACACAGGGTTCCCCTTTTCGTACCATGTCGCCAGCCGCGCGGATCCTCAACTCCCCCTCATTCACACCCTTATTTGGATTATCCTCACATCTAGGTCTTGGTGTTAGCGCATGTATGACTCACACATCCGAGGTATAGATACACACACACAAACCCCACTCACGACACAACGACACCAACGTGGTTAAGCTCTGAAGTAAACGGTTGTGTCCACGTCCTCTCCGATCTTTTTCTTCATCGCGGGTATCAGGGAAGCGTAAACGGGCTAGGGTTAATTTCGCGGCCCCGACGTGGTTCAAGACCACATGCTGGGGCTTACAACAAACCACGGAATATGCTGTTGTGCAAGTTGACATCACGATAACTACTTCACCTCGTTCTTGTATCTAAACTCGTGTCGCATGACGACACCAACACCGTCTGGCTAGGGAATAACCAAATACGTCTCTCCTTTTACTGCTATTAAACATTTTATACCTTAATCGCTCGTCTCAAAGGAGGCCTAAATGCTTTCTCACATTCCATCTGCTCTCAAGATCGGGAATTCAATTCATTCCTTGATTCTTGATTAGCAGATTTTCGTCCTAAAATTTAACAGTTTTTGCATGCATTATCAATAAACACCCTTACAATCGACCCATTTTTTACAAGTGACTACCTGACTCAATTTCACGACAGTGATCACACACTTCGTTACTTGATGCAGCACGCGGAATCGGTAAATATTTTCTCTGAGGAGCGCAAACAAATCAAGTTGAACTGGCAACGTCTTGCCTCAAGGTTTTTTTTAAATTTCTTCTCTTGGATGGTGTGATTCAGTTGGCCCTTGAAAAATAATACTTCGTTAATTAACTTCCTTTGTGGCCTGGTTTAGCTCGGTGCTTGGAATGCATCCACATGGATGTAAAGGGCCTTATGAAGCCGCGTATTTTACCATGCACACTCATTCAGAAAATGTTTACACGTTCTTTGTCAAGATCTACATTCTAACTTGTCACGAATTCAGGAAAAAGGGAATTAATTTCCTCCTTCACGACGGTTGCTTGGAATTTACTGTTTGTTTATATTCTTCCAAGTTATTGGATCTCTTAAATTTGCCTAAAAAAGGACATTTCTTAAATGGGCGTTATAATTAGCGAAGTTGCACTGTCAGATTCAGAGAAAAACACGTAATGTCTCCAGTGGTCAGCGATGTTTCTAAATATCCATTTTCATCATTTGACATCATGTGATTAGGATTCGTGATGCTAGCAGATAGTGGCTGTTTTTGTTTCCATTAAAACTAAACTGACAGGAGAAATCTAATCAGAGTAAAAATTTTTTAACGAAACTTTGGGAAGCATTCTCATTGGTTACTAGGAGCTTGCTCGATTTGGAATCTATTCGCGTTTTGCATTTTAGACACAATTACCTGATTAATGAACAAACATGTCAACATCGTGGTTGTAGTGTTCTTACTTTTAAAAGAAAGAATTTTAACAAATTAGGGGTCGCTTGGCGGTGAATGCTCAAACGGTTAATGCTCAGGGAAAACATCTCTATATGGCAGAAACACGAACTGTTCTAATTTTCCTCGTCTTAAATGATTGGCTTCTAAATCCGTCCTGCGTCAACATAACCTTGAAAAATTGTTTCAATTAACTTGTTTACATGACGACTTTTCAAAACGGAAAACGCAAAGTTGCAATGTCGTTATGCCATGTTTCATGAGTGTTGTAAAAGCAACATGATTGGATCATACTCCTGCTCACGGAACAGTTGACGTGTTAAATGGTCGACGTAATCCGTGGACTATACTCCATCAGCTTGTCATCTGTTTAGTTCCCTGAAAAATTGGTGAGTACAAGAGCATTCAGCATTTCCAAGACTATGATTTTTCTTATAAAATCGTCCGACTTTTGTTTATGCACACAATTTGTCATTTTCAAATCTGCTCCCCTAATCCTATTGGCACATCTTCCTTTAAATGTGCCGTCAGCCTTAATTGCCGTCTAGGCCGGCCGAGACATGCACATGCGAACACATTCGACCATGTTTCACCGCCTTCGGCCGAAACGACAAAGGCTCTTCGCACGAGATCTTGCCTTCGTGCTAGAAGGTGGTTGGTTGCCCAAGGCTGGGGATTTGCGTGTTGGTTTTTTGCGCGAGCGTTTTTTATTACTGAAAAAAATACAAAAAAAAAATACATGCAATCTACGAAAAAGAAGAATTTTAATCAACTTTTCGCACCTAAGCTTGATATAAAAGAATGTAGCCAAGTTCGAGATTGTACAGAAACAGTTACGTTCAAAGTTGATCAACGCAAATACAAGTTTGCATAAATCACAGTTATGTAACAGCTTATATAAAAATTACTTCGCTTTCTAGCACTTTGTGTTCCCAACTGCTGGGCCGTCAGCAGATTTCCTGCAAAAGGTCATCTCAGTTCTTTGCAAATTTGACAAGTAGGAATTGATCAAGACAAACTTACTCTGAAGAGGTTGGGGTTTGGTTACACTATTTGACCGTCTTCGTAAACATTTTTTTCATACTTAGCTGCATATATTTGGGGTGTGCCCTTTATGGATAATGCGCACTGACTTGCGTTTAGAAAGTAAACGGTTTTAGTCAGCCAAATTCCTGGCCAAACAAACAGACGACCACGGTAGCCGAATTTACATCACCAGATCGTGTGTCTTAGGACATTGCATCACAATCCTTTTCATTCTCACATGTTTTTGTTTATTTAGTCTTTTTCCCATTCTCAAACACACATCAGTAAGCAATTTTTCTACTTGATGCAACAATTCTTCATCAGTCAAAGTTGTGTATAAATTAGGATTGAAAACTAACCTCCTGAAATGGCATCTACTGAAATTAAGGTGCAATTTTTAATTTAATTGTAGACTTTTATTTTAACGGTCAATCCTTTCGACGTGTTCACAAATCAGATGCGTTTAAACCCATATTTAAAAATACGGCTGTCTTTTTCCATTTGCTTTTAATTTTAAGGGACCCAACTGCAAATAGGAATGCGTTTCCATGTGTGCTAACAGAGGTCCACTCGATTTCCTTTCAAAATCATGTGTCTGTCGATGTAAGTTGCCATCACATGACGCGTCCTGGGAGGAATGATTTTCGCTTGTTACAGCAGAGCAGTGCGTGGGATACTCGCGTGGAGTTTTCGCAGTTCACGTCCAACACAACTGACGTATTTTCTCGATGACATTACTAATTAAGCTTGAAGCTTTCACATGGCGTTCGTGTAGACAAAAGGTAATTATAAACAAGCGAATTTACCAGTTGTTCATCACTTATTTACTTAAGCCAGAATTTAATTAAGACAGCTAGAGGATTACGCAACCTAAGATGCAGTGAACGCTTGGACTTGCTACAATCAATTCTTAAAATGTGTATGCTTGCTGAGGCAATTGCTGCCTTTTTTAACATAGGCGCGTGTGATTTGTAGACGAGTACGCATTGATTGCGTTCTTGACCAGAAATCAATAGTCAATATGCGTTCTTTGTCTCCGCGCATTCTCCAGCTGCAACAAGCACCGTTACACTGTTGGCGCGTTTGGTATAACTTCACTTTTGAAAACCAAAACTGTTAAAAACTGGAGTTGTCCCTCACACTTTCATTAATTGCGCCGATTGAAGTAAGCATTTTCAAAATGGTACAACCAACGGCGACCAAATCTACTGTGAGATGCGCAGAATTGATGGCACTGGTGGCGAATTTTGGCATCGTTACTCTGTACAAACTCTAGAATCACAGAAGTTTGAATAAATGCCACACTCCTATCATGGCCTTCAAGTGTTATGGTGGTTCACTCAGATTCTTTAAGTACTTTGCGCAACCTATACTATTAACAAAAGTAATCAGTAGACATGATTTGTTCGACGACGACTATATTATGCATTTTTATGCTACTTTAGACAGTGGTGGTGAGGAATGGACGCAGGAAAAGTGGACTCCAAAGCAGAAATGGTCTCGAACTCATTTCAGGGGAACTGTCAACCAAGGAACAAACATCTTGGTGGTACTTTTGTTCTCCTGGGCGGAAAACAGGAAGGGGACCACTTTAAGTTTAGAGAATTCTGATTATTAAATGTCTGGTAAAGTTGCGAGCTAACGCAAACGGTAAAAAATGGCTTTATTGTGAAATTCAATTAATATTTTCCTCACTCTTCACTTAAGAGGGATTAAGGTTTGTTTACGCTAACACTAACCAGAACAGGCCAATTGAATGTGATGATTAGCAGAAGTTGGTCGTTAAATTGCCTCAGTTGACAAAACCTTTGAGGTAAAAAAGAGTTAAATAATCAAACAGGCCGCCCTAAGCGGTTGAATTGAAGCATTAGGGAGAGTAGCACCCCTCCACCCAGCAAATTAGCCAAACTTCGTAGCAAAACAACATGCACAAGATGTTCTAACTCATAATTAAATGCGTCACTGTCTCCACCTTCATGTAAATTAAAACGTCTTAAGGTTTAGAGCAGGTGTTAAGTCGCTTTAAAGATTCCCCGGACATTGCCGTCATTTATGTTGATGTTAATTGAAGTAAAACAAATCATGTCTACTGATTACTTTTGTGGATAGTAAAGTTTATTCAAAATGCTGAATTTGAGTGAGCTATCATAATACCTGAGAGGCCAGACTTGAGCATATTTCTTGCCCTGAATTCTGCGATCCACGAGTCTAGATAGGATAACGATGCTATTCACTGCCACCAGTGCCATCAGTTATGCGCATTTCAGATTAGAATTGGTCGTTGCTGGATGTAACAGTTTGGCCACGTTGACTTCAATCGACACAGTGAATGAGAGTGTGATGGGCAACTCGAGTTTGTAGCAGTTTTGTCGCTTTAAATTGTAAGCTGAAGTAACAACTGAATGAGGCTCGAAGACGTGGGATGCATGAGATGGATGTTTGACCACGAAATTCTATTACACACAGCCTGGTTAGTCTGAATGTTATCGGTTCTTGGATCCAAACGCAAAATTCCGGTGGTTGGTCAAATTCTAAACGTGAATCCCTTGGCTTATTCAATCGACCACCTCTACAGTCCGGGACAAGCGCATGAACACATGCAGAGAACTTTTACCGCCTGAGACAGCTACTGAGAGTCTGAGTGACCAGGTTGTTAATGTCTTGGGTGTCCTTAACCGGTTGGACTACGAGGAACCAACACGGATAGGCGCTTTTCCAGTTGGGTCCCAGAAGATTGTGTGACCCAATGAAGTGGCGTGATTATGGAAGTTCTACAAACTGTGACAAAATCTCAGTTATTCACTTTCCCAACTTCAAGAATCAAGCAAAAAATTGGTTATTTCGAAGGGACTAGCTCCAACCTTATTGGTAGTAAATACATGGGTCACAGTCAAAGGAACCCACGAAACTGCAGTTGGTGATGATGATTCAAGTTAATCATCTTCGTTAAAGTATGTCCAGACTCTTCGCTAATTCACCCATTCAAATAATCTGCGCGTATGCTCAGCCCTCCCCCCACTTCATTTCTTTGCTCCCTATTGGTTGGACACGTCTGAACATGTATCCGTTCGCACATGCAACCCCCGTATGAGTCTGCGACTTACGGCATACGCGACCATGTGTACACACCGGCAGTCGGGTTGAACGATCTCGTAAATGTTAGCGTATCTGAAGCCTCCGTCTTCCAATTTCTTCTTGGGTATCTGTGTAACGTAACACGGTGTGCACAATCTAGCAGTATCAGTGCCAGTTTGAGACCCAACCCGGGACTTTGCAAGCTGTGATCTCGACGTGATCGTCACTCTCACTGTGGATGGGATTTTGTAGCGAGTGGTCCAGACGTGATCGCTAGTGCCTCTGCGAACAGGATCAGAAAGATTGGATGGCAATGGCTTGATATCCCTTGAACCCCTTTGTGGACGAAATAGAGTGGGTTAATTCCATTACCGAAGCATGTAAATGAATATTCCGTGAGGGTCCGTGAATGTAACCCTAGTTCATAATCTAGTTATTCCTGCAAGCAGCGCAAAGTACCTTAGTTCCTTGCTAATTCCAGGCAATGCAAATTTCTCTTGCACGACAATGAACAACCGTACCCCACTTCACCCTCCCACCTTCTCGCCACTTTTAAATTACTCAAAACCAGGCAATTTCCAAACAGCTTTCACCACTTCCCTAAAGTCCGGGAAAGTAGTATGCAAACATATATTGGGGAAATGAACAATAACATTCATTTTTAGAGTGAGAGACAAGGTACAATTATAAGTTGGCAAAGTATACACCGACGTATAATTATCAGCTATTTATAACTGATGACGGGTTACAGGAAGGACTCGAAAATAACCGAGACGTGGGACAAGACGAGAGAGGTAACGTACGGTAGATGCAACATATCATTAGTAATGTAAGCTGAAGAGAAAAGAAATGACACAAAAAAGGCTTGCAGGCAGCGTAATGAATGAAGTTACGAGTTCATGCCGAATGTTTGCTTTGAAGGGAGGTGTTTGCAGAGAAGCGTAAAAGCGGAATTGGAGGTGAAATGTGTGGAAAATAATACCGACTCAAAGGTACAATTAGTACGAAATACCTATGCGTAACTTACATAAAGACTTAGGAACAAAACTTCCAAACTATTTTGAGCACTGCTAACTTAATGGCGATGGTAAAAGGCACCAGAAGGCGGTGCTGGTAAGTACCAAAACTACAGTGAACCAAAAGTGCACAAATTAACGTGGTATTTGTTTTGACTTGCAATACGTTGTCTCTCTCTATCTCTGCCGGTACTTCAAATAATATGACTGTATCTAATAAGGGCTGCACAGAATACACGTAAATTGGGAATGGATGCAAGGGTAGCAGGAGTCTTTGGTGTTACTCTGTTTTAACCTTGAAAGTTCGGCGGATTAGAGTTTTTTGGCATTTGTCTCATTTTGCGCTACCCGATTTTGGTTTTGCTTCTCGGCGAACAATCGCAGAGCCGTATTTTCACGAGAGACTGTCGAGGATTTTTGACCGGAATTTAAGGAGCTGAAATCCCCTACCTCGGCGGCTGTAGAGGTGAAGGACTTACAGAACGACGGATTCTCATTCCCAGCACGTGACTCATTCTTGATCTCGGATTTAGCATTCGACGTCAGCTGGGAGAATAGGGAGCGGTTTCCTGCTGGGCTGGAGCACTCTGCGCCGGATGAGATGCTGGCTGATCGACGCGCCAACTGTGGGGAGAATTTGACGCCGCCCTGAGATGGCGTCGTGGTCCCGACACCAGAAGAATCACCCAACATCTGTGGCGTCTTTGCTGGGGTTTCACTTGTACCCTGTGGTGTGGGGAGTATTGATTCGTTCAATTTTCCATTCATCTGACTCATTTGCAGAGTTGGACTCAGCGTGCTTGGTGGCGGGGTATGCGTTGGTGGTCTGAGTCGCGGATTTGGCGTCGTCTTAAACGAAACTTGCAGAACACGGTTACCCAGGGCAAATCCATTCAAAGAGTGAATAGCCAACAAAGCTTCCTCATAATTACTCATCGTCACAAACCCGAACCCCTTGCACTTGTTCGTGGTTGGATCGCGGATAATCTTAACTGTCTGCACTGCACCGAATGGGCCAAAGAGTTGCCAGAGATTGGACTCTTCCGTCTCGGGGGCCAGGTTGTACACGAATATGCACCAGCCGGTGGCAGTCAGAGCCCCTGAACTCGCTGCCACAGCTGGCGCAAGGAGGGGATTCACAACGGCTGCTGCACTCGCTACTGCGGGTAGGAGATCAGCCGCATTAGGGCCCTGGCCATTAGCTCCGCCTGCGAGAGCCGACGAATACTTCAATCGATTAGAGATCGACGCAAACTGCTGAAGGGGGCTAAGAAGACCGGCAGCGGCGACAGCATTCGCGGCAGCAGAGGCCGCAGATCTTGCCGGTGGGCTCACCACCGACGCAGCCACCGACTGAAGCTGGGCAGCCTGTTTGAGAAGCGCCAAACCCAAGCTATCGTGGCGAATGGAGTTTGGTGAGTTCGCAAACTTGACCGTTATGGGCTCGTTCGGTGGGGCGTTCGGGTAATCCGCAGGAGGTTGGTAACCATTTAGTCTGCGAATAGCCTGTTCTGCCTCGTGGCGCTGGTCAAAGCGGATAAAGGCAACACCTCTAGAAAGACCAGTTTTGTTGTCGTAGAGAATTCGCGCGGTGATAATTTTTCCACAATGAGAGAACAATTCCTCCAACTCTGTCTGAGTCATTTTTCGTGGAAGTCCGCATATGTACAGGTTCGCCCCTTTGATCGATTCAGAACTAGGCCGTGCGATGGAAACTTTGATGGTCTTATTTTGCAATCTCAGACCATTGAGAGTTCTAATGGCCTTTTCGGCATCGGCGGCTCGTACGAATTTGACAAAAGCATACCCCAGACTCTCACCAGATGCCTTTTCTCTAACTAATTTACAAGATTCCACCTCACCAATGCTCGAAAATAGTGCCTTAACCTCATCTTGGGACATATAGGGTGGCAGATAGTTAACAATTAAGTTGGTCTTATTCACAGACTCACATGTTTGTCCACTTAAATTGCAGACATCAAGCTGCCCCTGGGTAATACTTCCATTGGAGGTGGTCATGTTTGAGGGACTGGGAGACGAGAAGAAGTAATTATTTCCATGAATGTTACCACTGAAATTACGGGCAGACGTAGCGGCGTTATTTTGAGGCGCAGGTTGGGAGAGAGTTGTGGACTTAAAGTTGGATTCAGGAGGGAAATAAGGTACGTCGGGATGCTGCATGTAGGTATTTGACTCCTCAACCCTGCGCTCTTTATTTATTTTGATTCGGTTATCCTGTTGTTGTTGCTGTTGCTGTTGGAATTGGCTAGGGGGAGAAATTTGGCCCTGCTTCTGTGGGTACACTACGCTGCTTGATTTAAAGTTTTGCAGTTTCGGATCGGGGATATAAATGCGAGCAGGAGTTTGGGATTTATGCGGTTCGTTTGGGTGGGACGAAGTGACGCACTGCTGATTTGTTCGAATGGAAGGGTTTTCAGACACATGGGGCTCTGGGGAATTAAGGATTACCTTCTCAGTTGAGTCAGAACAAGGGGAAATAGAGGTTGAATAGGTAGATTCTGTGACCGACTTTTCAAGAGCTTCCTTCTGGTGGTCATGCTGGTGAATTTTCAGAAGGAAGTTGCCACTCATCAGATTGGAGGAGGCTGCATTGTTTGATTCAGATGTTGTTGGGACATCTTTGTTGGCTTTTAAGGCATCAGATTCGCATACTGAAAGATTCGACTCATTAAGGCCTGCTCTTTCCTGGGATTCAACAGCACGCTCGGGAGTACCTTCGCTCGTGTATTGGCAAAGAGTTTCGTTTATCATATTAGAAGTAGATTCATGAGGGTTGAAGATTGATGTGATTGCGCATTTATCAGAAGAACGCTGCTCATCGCCTATATCTCCAGACGCCCTTTGATCCTGACCAGCTACCGAAATACTTGGCTGAGAGACAGATAGGGGGTTTGTACTAAGGCTCCTAATTTCACGTTTTTCTGCACAAATTTCTCTTGACATCATCAATCTAAAGAGGGTCCACGTTGCTGACAACCCGTAGAAACCATTCAGCAACGATTTTAATAAAACGGCAGATTCAATAGCACTGAGGAGTTAGTGAAGTTTTAAAGGTTGAAAACACCGAACCAAGTCGACGATGAGACGTCCTAAACTAAGGTGCGTTGCCCTCAAACAAATGACTAAAACCAGCCAGGCACTGCGGCTGTTACCGTAGTAATTCCAAGCCAAACTCAATTGAAGAATGACTCGCCACAATGACAGTGTGCTTATTCGATTAGTAATTTTTCAAAAAAATCAATAGTCATTTGACGCGTGGTTTGGCTATTCGTGCATCCGATTTGCAGCTGTTTCACTCAAGGTAATTGCATTTGCTAACATTAAGTTTGTGCTAATTTAGAAACACTCATATTTTTGTGCAAATTGTTAATCTGCTCGCTGATTTTCACACAGCACCACCAAATTTTTTCAAGCATTGCGTTCTAAATAAAGCGTAGGAGCGAAGTTTTGGATGCAAAAACGAGGAAACATTTAAAGGCGGACCATAGTATGCACTTTTAAGGTGCTATGGAACCAAGTGAATTATAACTGATTGATTCCAGTACTTCACTTGCAGAGAGATAGTTTGCTGCGACTAATTAAGGCAAGTCATACTTTGACTTCCCTTCTTTTCCCACTTTGTAGGCTTCAGTCTGAATAATTAAGATTTTTTTTTAAAATGGTGCAATAAAACTGTGCACAACCATAACATTTATTTTGGCTGATTGTTGTCGTAGTTTAAATATGAGTTAAATGTCGAACGTATGCTAGTCAAGTTGTATCATTTTCACAAAGCCGCCACATTAAGTTCGTTACATTTTGTAATAGAGTCTAGCGGTTTCATTAATGAACGGTTTCTGCCACGCTACCGGACATCCTAAGGAAGCTAACGCAAAACGAGACTTTTATTCCCCGGGATTCGCACAAGGCAGACAGAATATCGTCTAATAATAAGATGCCAGAAGGTAAGTGCTATTTACAGTCAAATATTGTGGTACAGGTAATCAACTGCATTGTTTCAATTTAAGCCCCAGAAATATGGATTTAATCAACGACTTAGGCCACCTTTTTGCAACATTTAACATGACGAGTTCGAGCATTTTCAACAGCCCTACATTCGTTGAATCAACGATGAACACACAGACCAGGTCATTCGACTTGGAATTAAGTCGAGACCATGTCACATTCGTAAATGTCACGTTGAGTTAAACTGACAGACAACTTAGCAAAACTACCAGACACGCATTAATTACCTAGACACTAGTAGCTTAATCATTTGTCTGTGTGGAGATGTCAGCTGTGCTCCCATATCAAGGTGGAAAACAAGAGGTACGGCGATTGGACTGACATGGTGACGGTGCGCTGGAGCATTGCACACGATGACTTCGGGGAATGCAAAAGGAAACTGCCGGACTGACTGAGTCATGGAGCCCTGTCAGCCGTTCAGCGCAGCGGGAATGAAGGCAGATGTGTGCACCAGACCATCGTGGATGGCGTCCACAGCGGTGAAACAATTCAACACCCAACCACGTGGTGCCTCGGGGAATTCGAACGGTGCCGCATCAGGCGAACCCACGCCACGTTAAACGCGCTGGCTTAAGTCAGCGGTTCACACGCCAGTCGCGAATCACCGCCCTGTGTTGGATGTCTGAAGTTGTGTCAACGTGTCAGGCTACATCACTGTGTCTTGTTCAATCGAATGTTGTTGTCAATCTGACGGCCAGAAAGTTAGTTTCAGCAGGACTGAGTGGTGGCCGTGGTGGTGACGGTTCAGTGGTTGCAGAGTCCGAGTGAGTTTCACGTTCACCTCTTGTCTACACGACAAGCACGATGCTTTGTGCAGTCTGTGATAATGTGGATGGCTTTAGCAAATACACACCACAGCTGAATGCGAGGAAAGCGAGTGCTGCTCACCACGACCACGAGTGCTTACTTCAATGCCTCAGGATAGCAAGAGTCCCATTGGGATTGGGGTGGGTGGAGGAGTTGCAAAGACGCAACGCTAATCCAATTACGGCGTCGAAAGGGGCTTTGATCCTAGGTGGAGGTGGAGGAGGCGACCGATGCTAATCGTGGTCACAACGGCCACCTCTCTGCACATGATCGCTGCTGCTTGATAATTTATGGTAGCACATGTGCATGCGTGCTTGCAAGTGACTGAAACACGAGCCTTCACACATCTGACTCTCGTTTTGTGACAACATTCTGACAGTTGAGTGAGGTGAAATCACGTGTAAACCAACGCACACATTTATAATGCGGGCCTGAGTTAAGTCTCGCATGCAGGTTTCGAGTTATGAACACGAGACCAGTGGCCAGATTCGATGTATTACTGACCTCGAGCGATTGCGAAGACGCCAATGACCTATTTTAAAATGACGAAATTCGCCGCTTGTCAAACACTTCTGACACAATTTGCATCATCGTCATCTCTGCTGCCACTTCATGGCAAAACAGCAATTGAGCAAAAGGATGGAGAAGGGTTCCTAACTGTGTGACTTGTTGACAGCACGATTTGTGTGACAAATAGATTCGTTGAGGAATCACACTGGTGTGAATAATGAACACGATAAAATCGCCCATTACATCCGCAAATGTCACAATGGCGTGGTTTTGTTTTCCTGCTGATCTCGTGCGCTGATTAGGGTGAGCACGTTCTGGTTACCTGCTGCCAGATCGCGTGCATTTGGTTTTTTCTTTATTTGTCACAGAAACGGACCAGAGGATGGAGAGGTTGGCAGGTGGGATGTTGGTGTCACGTGAGTCCGTGAGGCGGAAATTTTCACCTCCATGGGAGAACTGCACGAAACCACAGTTGGCTTCGTTCATCACAACTCCAGTCAGCAAGACTGTGAGTTCGTGCTCAAAGTACAGCCCCTAAGGATGTGATCGGTGGGATTCAAATTTAGACGAGTGAGGGGTCACTGTTGCGCGTTGGAGATGCTTGGGTGATATAAAATTATCCCAATTCACACACCGTAATGCAAACGAGACCTGAGACGTTCAATTCGGAGGTTGAACCCACAGAATTTGCTCTTATCGTTGGATGCCTACACTAAACTGCGTGTGTTCGTTCAAAACAGGATGGAGAATGAACACACAAACCAGAAGCCAGCCAGACTTTGACAATTACCACGCGTTTTAACTGATCATTATATCCAAAAAATATGATGCATGTCATTTGATCGAGCGCTTTTTAACCAATCCCGGGTCGTTGATACCTAAACAACGAAGGAGTGTGCAAATGTGCCTGCAAACATTGTGCTAACAAGCGAAGTTAAGTTGGCTGTGGCGCAGGCAGACTAAAGAGACCCCAGACACGTTACAGACGCAGCAACGAGTCACGTGAGGCGGAAAATTACGACGGCGTACGCCCCCGCCGCCGTCTGACGAAGTGTCGACAAGAAGAACAAGAATGTTAGCGTTAACAAACGTGTAAAGTGCCGTAATTACGCCGTTCACGCCCCCAATTTTCCTCAAGGCCATAGATTCGGGGCTTAAAGTGGAGATTCTAATTAGGATTAAGCAATAAAAAGGGATTACAGCAAAAATTAGGACCGGATTTAAAAAATGTCATTTATCTTGAGAAAAGTAGACACGCACTAGCAATAAGCAACCAACCAATAGGAGTGCTAGGAGGTGGCCTTCATCTCTGCTTAAAAATAGCCAACAGAGTTCACTTAAGCGCTCCCGACACTTCACGATTTTTTCCAAAATCTCAAGCCTGCTGTCTGACAACGTTCTCCCAATTTGTTGGGTGTGCACACTTGTCTGAGTTGCCGGTACTTCACCACACACACAATCCGAGTAGCCGTGAATAACGGTAGTTAAGGGCCCACGAGTAAGCATTGGCGCTTCTTCCCCTTCCTCACTGATCGAACAGGCTTGCGTTCACTGCTTCGATACCTCCATTCCGGCACATTCAGTCGACACGCCTTTACGCTAGTGACCATCACCGGGCCACCGCACTTGTCGCAAGTCTTTTGACCACGTCGAAAAAAGGTGTCGAGGTACCACTTCACACTGCAGGCGCGCCAACAACAGCAAGATTCAAAGTTCCAGGTTTGCTTTGTATACGTGGGTGCTTAGAGCGCCACAAATGGTTTCATTGCCGGAGGGAGGCACGTTTACACACACCCCAAACGCGACCATTAATCACATGGATTTGGTAAAGCGAAAGATTCTTTTGCCAAATCGGAGGCTGTGGGTGCCTGGTGCTGAAAAAAGGCGTGGTTTCATACCGCCTGGATGGGAAATGCGACGTGTGAAGTGTTCAAGGTCATCCGCGTATACACACGTACACACAACAGTGCGAAATACACACGTTGCTACACAGTTTCATCTTCAACCACACAATCAATGAGCTGGGAGGACGTTTTACCATCAAACAGCTATGAGAAGCTGAATAATTAAGACGCCTGTCATGTTATCAGAAGAACGAAAAAGAGAAGTAAGAGGAAGGAAGTGTGAACGTGCAAAGGCTCTGTGAACAACACGACAAAAGCAAAAAATACCACATTATATAAGGCACGAAACAAGACGCCACACACAGCCCCGTCATGGAGTCAAACAAATGGCATTTTTATGGCTGTTTAGGCGTGATTTGACACCGTTTCCGCTCTTACATAACGACAGAATGGGACAAAACACCATTTGCATGAGTTTGGCGCCACAGGCGGTTTGCAGTGGGAGTGGATTTGGTGTTGGAGAATAGCAGCCGACGCTGCAGGACACGTCAAGTTCCCAGACACGACTGCTTTTAATTACACAAACGAAAATTTCGTTAAAAATTCACAAAAGACTCGCTTCTCGGGGGCCAAACGAACCCTCTCAAGTGTAAATGGTTAACTTAGCCAAAAATTACTACATTTGGCGATAACAGGGTGCAGAGATTGTAGCACAACTTGTTGAGAAGATCCAACGTCTGTGAAAATTCCGCCGACATGAAAATTGGCAATTGCATAAACACGGCCACCGGAGGCGATTAAAATCGCTCATATGTGGAGTTGTTTATGCATACCGCCCCAAAAAAACCGCCTTGGGTGTTTGTTTTAACCGTGCCAATTGTGACTTCTACAGAAGTACATTACAAAAAAAACATGAAACGCGCAGAACTGTGTAACTGCTTGCCAAGGCAAAAAAATCACGATTACTGTCACTGAAGACAAAGGTGGCAACATCCGCGTGCTCCTTTCCACAAATGGAAACTTGCAAGTAGCAAATAACCCCTCACGGCTCATGCAAATTCCTTCAAAAGATTCGGGGCTCGAAGTAGGAAGGAATATTTCAGGATTTAAAAAAAGGAAATTACCCAAAATCGGGTATTTTTGGGTGAAATACACTTAGAACAATTAGATTTCCAAAAATTCACAACTTCTGAGGTAGTGCAGCCGGAAATGTCCGGACCACGAATGCACAAGTATGTCAACTGGACAATTTCATTCGAATTCCCAGTTTATTAAGATGGAATTTTATGTCATTCTTAGTTGGGGCTTAGAATTTTGTGGTAAGGCAGCTTAGATGACACGAATACAAGGTTTTGCCGTCTTGTCAGTGAACTTTGGATCACGATGAGGTCCCAACGAGGCGGTTTGGGTATTGAGTGACACAGGTGGTGGTGGTGGTAGCACCAAGTTTGGTTGAAAAATGATAATCATACGGCGATTAAAACCACGGCGAACAACCACAAAGCATACCGGTCAGCAGAGTACATGATGGAGAACGGGTGGGAGTCCTTCTCACGAGGACTCAGCGGCTTCTTTTCGTCGCCAGAAGTCCGCGAGCCGAGGAAGTCAGGAGGGACGTTGTGGGGTTCGCCTTTGCCCGAAGCCGGTCCCACCGCGTCTCTGTTGGAGCGCACAAACTCTGCGCTGGAGTAGCCCTCGTCGAAGTCGGCGTCGGTGTAGACACTCCACAGCTTGAAGTCGGAGTCGGTGAGCTGGGGGAAGCGTACCAGGAAGCGCGTCTGTCCGTGAACACAGGGCTGAAGGAAGTGAAAATTACGTGGCGTGGACGTGTAGACATGTTTACTACTGGTTCCATAGACATTCATAAGGAAACGTTCCCTTACTTACGGAGAATAAAAGACACTAGGAATTAGATGATATTTCACAAACAGGTAAACGGCGTCTAAGATGGCAAAATATTGATGCCATTGTGAGATAAGGAAGAGACAAATTAAAGAGGCATTAATAGAGTAGTTGGAGGGTGGGTAAATTAACACGAAGCTTTGAAGGGACCAGCACATCCCATTCCATGGTACCCACTTGGAAAAAAAACTACCAGCTCTTCTAGCCATAATACTAAGTTACTATTAAGTAACAAGTGCGAATGCGAGTCAAGAATGAAACGAAAAAAAGGTAAACAAACGCATCATAAACAACGCCTGCCAGTTCATGGAGAATAATCGAGAGTCAGTTAGAAAGGGACGAAGCTGAACTTGGAGGGATTTGGATGACTGGATGGGCATTGGACGAGAAAATTGCATGACCACACACACACACCCCGACGAACTCACATCAAAGCCGGCATTTGATCGCCTGAGGCGCCGTTTCAGGTTTGCGATTTCCTCGTTCCAAGGCTTCAGCCGCAGCCACCAGCGCACGAGACCCTCGATTTTGTCGCCCTTGTTGCGACCGCCAGCGCGATCCACTTCGTAGAAGGAAGTGCGCTGCGAGGCAATCAGCAAAGGCTTCGTGCTACCACCGATAAAGAGGCTCGTCTTTGACGCTGAGCGACACCCTGAGGCAATTCTGTGCATTCTGAAAAACACACAAGTACGCTGTGTTAAATTATCTTTACAAACATCTCTCAATTATACCCCGTACATTTATGCAGCCCCCGCATCTATGCATCCACTGATTCGGCTTGGTTTTGTCGATCTCGAGTAAAAGACAATCATTTCACCGACAAGAATATTGTTGTGGGCTCCAGCACATGGTCCTGAACCACGCCGGGGCCACGGAATTAGCCCTGGTCCGATTACACTTCTCTGATACCCGCGATGAAGAAAAAGACCGGAGAGGACGTGGACACAACCGTCTACTTCAGAGCTCAACCTCGTTGGTGTCGTTGTGCCGTGTGTGCTTATACCTCGGATGTGTGTCATACATGCGCTAACATCGGGACCTACATGTGAGGGGGGGAGTTGAGGATCCGCGCGGCTGGTAACATGCTGCGAAAAGAGGAACCCTGATTCGGATGTGGAGCGACCGGATTAAGGGGTGTGAATAGACACGATTCACAACAATACAATCCAGCAGTCAAATCAGCAGATGAGCGTTTGCATACTCTTTAAACCGACCAAACAGAAACTGTGGAGCTTCAAAAGTGACACGTCACGTATTTGACAACAGAATTGAACCACTAAGTTTTGCTTCAAGCGAGTAATTTTCTCGTATAAAAAAAATTTACACATGGAAAACCAATTCATGGGAGTAGCGGTGCTCGTGAATTGTCTTAAACAATAAAAATTTGCACTAACCGCGTTATTTGTGGTCAGAAGAGGCCATAGGAGGCCTAACTAATTACGTGTACAAGAAAATTCGCCAGATAATAGATTGCTTAAATGCAGTGGTACCGATTTGGGGCAATTGGAAAGCGGGAAATCTCGGGTTTATGGAGGCCATGGACGTGATATTTTCCTTTTTATGATAATGCGAGATCATAAAGGTGTGTTAATAAAGAACTGATGGAGAGTGAGACGCAAATTCAGACAAATGCGATTTGCTGGTACCAAAGTAGCATCCATTACAATGAATTTGCGAAGACAAACTGGACCGTTACACAGTAGGGCTTTTAGTATAGGAGAAACCGTGAGTGCATTGCAGGAAGGGCCAATAAGTTGTGTAGAAATGTAAGTTTGCAATGTGCAATACTGTAAAACTAACAAATCAGTGAAGACTCGGTTAATACCTTAATGACTCAAAGTAGATTATTTAAAAGGTCAATAAAGCTACGAAAACGGTTTTTTATTGCATTCGTATTTGATTGTGGGGAACAATATAAACCACCAAATGTCAAGGCGTGCGATTTGAACTAAACTTCAAAAACATTTTCTACGGAAATCCAATAGACAAGAAATGTTATCGTTTCATGAAGATCGAACTGAAGGGCAGAGAATCCCAAAACTAGGTCATTCAATTCTGCGTTTGCTATATTTAAATAGAAACTAAAGTAATTTGTGAGAGTAAATAAACATTTTGCAGTATTTTGATAAGCGAACTATGTGACAGGAGGGGATACGTGGTCACGTTGGAAGCTGGGACGTGGAGATTGGCCCTGTTTACGAACAAAACACGCTTTGTTCCAGGAAAAGGCATCAGCTTTGACGTGCCTCGGCCACGCACCACTAACGTCACGTAGGCCTCCTGCCACCAGCGCAATCAGCACTCCGACGTGGCGCTGATTTTCATAATTAGCTCTGGGTTGTGAATGCATCAGCAAGATCAGTGCAAAAAACCGCCCGCCACAAATTCCTTAAACGTGGAGGCGGACCTCAACACACGCCAAGTCCTCGAAAACATGTTAGAAGTGAAGGCGAAATGTGTACATACGCTGTCCAAGGACAATGGCAAAACAGGCACGAAGTAACACCAGCCCAGGCTACAATTGACACTAGACTTCTTTACGACCCTGCTTTTGACTTAATGATCTGCGTTTTCAAAGGCATTTACTGCATTAGGCAGTAAAGCGGTACAAGCGCTTGCAAGGCACGAAATTAGGACAGCACCCCATTGTGCTGTTTATCTCAGAAAAAAAAACCAAAAAAAATTGACATTTCTGTCCCTTTTGACACTCTTTCCAAAATTAAAGCTAGTACTCTTTTAAAGCGGGCTAAAACGAGTTGTGAATCCAATTTGATTGCAGCAGGAAACACAAACAGGGCAAATTCTGGGTCCTACGAAGGCGCAGTTTCAAAAACTTGGTTTTGATGTTGGTAAATTTCAGCACCTAAGCGCGCAGCCTTAAAACTCCCTTTTTGTGAGTGAGACAAAACGCCTTATCCGACAATTGTCGTCTAAAGACGACAACTTCTACGACGTCACGTAGCGACGCAAAGCCCTGATGGCCTTAACCCGATGTGCAAAATCTGCACACCGGAATTCCGTGGTGCTAAAACGCCATGGGTGTGAGCGCGTGATCACGACGAACCACGCGCGAATTTGGCAGTTAGACAACGCGGATGTCATGCCTCACGAAGCTGAGATCCAGTAGCATGTAAACATAAATGACGTATAACTTCGAATGGAGGTGAGACGAAATGGGATGGGGGTGTGTGTGGGGAGGGGAGGGAAACAGTTAACCGAAATAGAGCACCAATCGCATTAAATCAGGCGCCTCAAGTCAATATTTCCGATATTGATGAAGCCTATTGGTTTAACTTAGTCAAGAGGGTTACGGTTTATAGCGGATTTTGAAAAGCGACTTGGTACTTGCGGGATTTCACGTAATAGCGACTGTTTTCAACAAAACGCATAAATCATACGGGCCCTTTCCGCAGACGCAATTACTTCCATAAGTGCGCTTTAAACATCGCATGGAGGATTTCTCAAGTTCGTCAGAACAAGCCTGCCAAAGAACGCCAAGAAATAAGCGGACGTTTTTAAACACCTAGATGACTTCACCTACAGCTACTGGATGATTGCTCTCGGTGTAACTTAGACATCGAGATTTAGGCGATGAAGGCCATTAGGAAAAACGACACGCACACCCCACCTCACACATCACTTTTTTTGCGTATAAAGTGGTTAGGGGGGGAATAGGTTGCCTGGCCAGGGGAATAATTTACGCTCCGCAACAAAACACCACAACGCTCTTAATGCTAAGCTTGACTAGAGACACGAGGGAAAAAGTCGACACGAACAGCAATCTGGCATGCCACGGCATACCCTAGTGTCTCGTGGTGACTAACCAGCCCAGTCGAGCCTGAGACAGAACAGGTTCGTTTTATGCGCGAAGCGACAAATGCCCGTAGCTGAAAGAAAAAGCCCGGTTCGCATAAAATAACGCCACCGGCTAGCTTGGATAACAAGACCTCAAAGAAATTCACCACACATGCAGACAGGAGAGGGAAAAAGACGACAATTTTTACTTCAAATTCACTCAGCAACTCAACTATATTTCAAAATATGCAGTCTAGGTATGTATACTCGCGCGTGTCTGAATGAGCTTCTATCAGTACACGCTTGATTAAACTCAGATGAGACGCAGTGAGTGGAGATGCGCCGAATGCCAGCGGGGATAGTCTGCGGTGAGGAGAAGGGCTACACACAGGGAAACTGGGCGACGATGGGAGGCGGACAGGGGGCTGAGAGGAGGAGGCGGCGGGCGGAGGTTAGGCTCAGAAATTACGGACACTTGGGCACAAGCGCGCACGTATTTTTTTGTGTGAGTGTGTACAAAAGCTGTTCAAGTAGCGCGCCGGCTCAACGCAGACCGGAAATAGGCCAAGGAAGTATTTTCTTTAATAGTGTAAACATCAATGGGGTCTGGTAGCACATAGAAGGGGTTCGTTCTAAAAAAGGAGGGTAAAGTACGTTAACACACAAAAAAGCCAACTTCGGTGTCCCACGAGACGAGAGTAGGGAGTTGTGAAATGGAGTTGCAACAGCTCCGATCCAATCACTTTGAGTCCCTCAACTTATCCTGACAGGGAACATTTCAGGTTGCTTTCTTAATCCCATGAGAAAGAAGTGTTTAGTTCAGGGAGGTGGATAGCGAGGAGGGCCAAGAATTCATCTCCATGAACTGGGGCCAGGCAATTATAACTGAATCAGTTAGGCGCACAATGCCCCCCATGTGAGCGTCTGATTAATGAGGCGTCTGGGTGCAGAATGCAGGAATCACGAGAATTAATCCTTTTTTTTCTTTCAACGAGGCATTAATATCTCGAGCAAATTAACAAGAAACCGTCTGGACTGGACTAGCACCGGCCCCTGGCAAATGGAGGCATGGATTCTGCATGATAGGGAAGCGCTGTTTCGAGAGTTCGCACTTTGAAAGCACTGTGAGGTAAGAATTGACATAACCGCTTTCGCACCGATAACCGGTTGGAGAGTAGACCATAAAATGGCGCCAGAGTGTGTGTGTGTTAACAAACGTGATTACCATAAAGTGTTATGAGTTTGCGTAAAGATTCAGTTAAGCCGTGTTTTAAGGTGAATGTTAAGCCACGAGGTAAAGACAAGCTATTACACAACGATAAGGCACGCATTACCGACGCATGTTTATTGCATAACGGAAGACAGAAGTGGTGCATAAGAAATTCGCGAATGAAAAGGAACAAAAATGAAGTAAAAAAAACACGAAGTGGAAATGCACAGGAGGCAGGTAGGCAAAAAGGCGTCTTAACGTCGATGGCTCGCGCATACAACACAAGAACACACGAATTAATGCAGGCAATGCAAATGGAATTAGCTACATCCAGTACCAGTAATTCGGCCAGCATTCAACCAAATGACCTTGGCGTGTTTTATCACACTGAACATTCTGGGTCAGACTGTTAAACGCGCCGAATTAACTGGTAGGTAGAGTATCTGATCCGACGGCGTTTAGGTGCGAATAAACGCATTCTTATTGCTAGTTTCTAAGACACAGATACAAGTCTTAAATACCATGCTTAGGACACAGGTAGCACAACTTCTACCGACTCAAGCAGCTGGTCGTAAGCAATTCAAAAGCAAATTGAACTAACATTGCTTTGGCTTTGCTCCGGTAAATTGATTTCTGAGGAGAAATTGTGCGAGACACGAGGCAACCTAAAGCAAAAATTACATAGTGAAATTAAAAAAAGCGTTGTTTTTATTGGTGGAGCAGGATAATAAATCCAGACGAGTGATTGGTGGGCCGGAGAGGAAGGGGAGCATTGTAAAATTTGTTTACCTTTAACATATTAATGAGGTGTAGGGGGAGAGATTAGATAAATCAGAATGCAAAAAGTCAACAAAACAAACTGGCAAGGAACAATATTAAAGTTGGATTTAATAAGAAGTCCAGAAATTTCGAAAAAATAATGAATCTACGTGCTTTATACTAAAATGATAGCATTTTTGAAGGAGAGAGGTCATTAACGGTAGCCAAAGCAATGCTTTCCGGGTATTTGAGGATTTGTTTAATAATATATTGATCATCTCGTAATTATCAATCACTTAGGAGGATTCGCAAGGAACGGCACAGGTGGTTCTGATTGGATAATGGCAAAACCGACCAATCAAGTTGCAGTACTCACTTCTTTTTTGGAGCACTTTTTAACGTATATATTTTTGCATTGCATCAACGAACAGTAATGCGTGGTGCTTCTACAGATGCAGCAAATATCACACTCTTCCTATCTGTTTTCAAACATTACAATGCTGGTTTTAATTCCTTTCAGTAAGAATCAATAGGCTGATGTGATTGGTTCGACTGCGGAGCCAATCAAACACATCAAGTCGACCACATTACGGACTAAACAGAAGTTAGAGTCTGATAACACAAGAAATACTTTGGAAGGGGTAAAAACTGATGATAAATGAAAGAAAGATTTTACCTCATCAGGCGAGTCCTCGTGGATTGCATGGCCAGCGCGAGGCAAAATTTTCAACTGGAATTTGCCTGAAAAGGATTAGCAAAATAGCAAGAGTGTTACTGGGTAGTTTAACAGGATGTTGGAAACTGCACACCATAAAGGCCAAATCGATAGCTGAATTCGGATTATCGACATGATTACGAGATTCGGGAAAACAGCAACCTGTGGACTGGTTTGCACGACTTGATTCTGGCGTTTGCTCGCGATCTAAACACGACATTGAGGAAGAATTGTGCGTGTGCTGGTGCATGTGTGCACTACCAATGAGACGATGACGATGGTAATGACAGGCTGATGGTTATATAAAAAAAACAGAGATGCCAAGAGATTCGCCCAAAAGCAAGACATGAAGGTGCACATCTTGAAGAAGGAAGCACGTTGAAGGAGCACGAGGATCAGGCGAGGTTTCGGACCTAGACTGCACTCACCGGGAAACAGGGACAAGACATTCTGCGCAGTGGATTTCTTTTAATCTGAAGAAGTGGATAATATTAACGCAAATTCGTGTGTCGTGACACGGGACAGAACACTGTCAGTAGAGTGATAACATCTGTGCACAAATCGAGACAAGTTCTGTGACGATTAAGACTAAGTCGCATGACACATGGACAGCCACAAAATGAGTCGCAAACGGTTTGTACAAAAAGAACCCGAAGAACCACAGGACAACCAAATTGGGGGAACCGAAGGATGCTTGAGCCTCTACATCTGCTTATCAGTGGTCAAGAGTTCAGACATCGGAACAGAGTGGGTAGATTGAAAATTGCATTCGGCAGGAGCAGTCCCATTTACGACTGCATTTCTCGCCCAAAGACTCTTCCCCGTACACAGTCTCCAGCTCTTGACAATTTAACAACGCGAGTCTCCGCCACGGCGGCTCTTTAGAGCTTAATACGACCGGAAAGGACCGACACGACAGAGAGGGACGCATATGTAACACATAGGGGGGTGGTAATTATTGTCGCCTATTGCACAGCTACCCGCGTAATGTCACTGCCTCTCCCAAGTGAACAGATGGAGCTCTCGAACGAAGTCAAGAATGTTGACAAAGGAGGGGTAAAAAGAGGCAAAGTATGGGAAACTTGATGAAAGCTGTGAAATAAGGAATTTCTTGAGGCGCCAAATGGACACGAGGCTGGGGCGAAGAGCTCAAACCAACACACCCCCACGACAAAATCCGGGTTGTTGTAAGAAGGTGCTTTCAAGTATATTAGGAGAAGTGGTGGATGGAAGTACAAAGACAAATAGATCATTTGTGCTTAACGATTAGTTACAACTTAGTAAAGCTAGGTTTCACTGTTAATAGGGACCCCAAAGCAGCGCATTTTGGCACGTGACAGAATTTATACATTCCATTTTAGGCAACGGGGCATAGCTAGTTTGATTTTTTGTCGATGCAGGAAGCTGTTTCGGCCAAGTTTGAAAGGGGATGTATTACGAAATACGTCTATTAACCGCCATACACGAAACGTAGCATAGCGTAAACAGTAGCAGGCACACAAGCTTAACAGGGCTTACTGGTGGCTCATGAAAGAACACTGATTTACGGGGGAACGAGAACGCACGAACACATAAACAAGATAAGTAACGGGCAAGACGTTCCCATAGGCATGATGAAGATGCTTAGTGCATACCCTTGGAGGCAGTACCACGGAGAGCCGTTTAAAACTAGGACACCGGTGAAAAACACCATTTTTTAACGCGCTGTAGGAAAATTAAAGGTTTAATTCTTGAATCTAACCCTGGATTTAGAAGAATTGGAAGACATGGATTTCCATCTCTCCAAGGAGTGTTCAAATAAAGGTTTTAAAAGGCAAGAAGATGGTGAAGGTCGTTGTGAACTCAATGGACGAAAGAAAAGACCAAGGAGCAGATTAGTTGCATCGAAGGCAAAAATCACCCTAACAGGAACATTAAGGAAACACACTACGCACCCTGCATCTGAGCAATTGTCAGCTCCTTATCTAAGCGGTCTACGCCTGCCACAAGAAGCAACTTTGGTTCGGGCACGGAGAGGAAGAGAGAGGACATATTGGAGAACCATCCACGCCAAAATGGCTCCGTCTTAGAAAGGTCTATCCGCCAGGTGTAGGCGCCATGACCACCTGGAGTTAGAAGGTGTTCGGCGGCTTCAGCTGAAGACGAGGATTTGGGGGCGTCGGTGCTACCGGAAATTGGCATCGGCGGCAGTTGGGAGTTAGTGTGTGGAGGCGGTGGCACTTGGTTGGACTAGAAAAAAAATACATTTCATTTCAAGTCAGAGACCACGAAAACAGGGTGAACCGCGTCACGGGCGCAACACTCACCTCCAAACTTTCCGCAACCTCATCACTGAGCGCGGTACCGGAAAGGTTCGATGGCAACGTCAATTCCCCGTTGCCACTCTCGACTACGTGTGCGTCGGATGCCGCCATTGCCTCATCGTCCTCTTCTTCTCCCTCCTCCGAAATCATCGAAGTTGCCGAAGTGAGAGTGGGAGAGGTGTTAGCCAGGGCTGTGAAGAACTGTCTTGATGAGTTCTCGGGTAGGTTCCCACTTAGGTTGAGCTCGGAGACATCGATTAGTGCGGTGCCCTTGTCCAACTCCATCGTGGCACTCTCGCCCGTAGCTACGCGTTTCAGCTGGCCGGGAAATGAGATACACGCAGACTCTACGTTTCGGATTTGGCCACTCCGAACGCTGCACAAGAAACGAAGCGCAACATTTAAGCGAGGTTTCAGCAAAACTAAGTGGGACCTACTTAGGCATCCCGCTCCTAACTTTACATACATGGCTACTGCAAGGGGAATTTCGTGAGTTTTTTCAGCTCCAAATCAGCAATTCTGTCAAGAAGTTGCTCTTATAAGCACAAGAAACACCTCACGTGAATACGTGCCTCGGCACAGGTACAACATACGTTCTCTTCGTGGGAGGAAAATAACGCGGAGACAAGGAATTCCTATGACATCGTGAAATCGCAACCAGTGAAAGCATTTCACCACATAAACGCTGCTTCCATTTTAGAGAAAATAACGGGAAGCGACGATACGCGAAATTTACGGATAAAGGTTGATTCAAGGTCATGTTGAGTAGTAAACCGGTGTCTCCAACAAAGAGATAGGAATCTTGGATAATGGAGAAAAAAAGTTTGTTGTTTACAGCCAAAACTACCCCAAATTCACGGCCTGGAGTAAATTATACATAAGTTCTGTTGGCTGAAGGTTATGTCAATACCTCCGCTCTCAGATGTAATGTCAACTCCTGTTATTTTCGATAACAACGCCTGAAAGCGGCATTCTAGGGCACTACCCACAATTTCACACAACTTCCCATTCGGATTGTAATGCATTTGTATACATTGCTATTATATGCGAGCAACTTATAGAGTAAAGGACAAAATGAAGAAAACCAATCAGAGCGTTGCAAAGCTTCACTTGGATTGAAGGTACTTTTTTGTAAACATAACAGCGGCAATTACTTAGACAGATGTGCGTGGAACTGACAGTGAATACAGCTGATTTCAAATTATAAAAAATATGACAACGGTCTAGAGAATGCCGAATTAATGGAAGAGCGGCAAGACATCGATGGACTTGTATTGAGATCAGAATTTGATAAGTTAAAATCCGACAAAAACCGACACCTCTACAGACCCGGTTTCAATGGAGTCATGGTGAAATTTTGGGAATTGACCTAGGAGTGCAGGGGACGCTCAAAATCCCCGATTGCAGCGAGAAAAGCGGTGTGTAATTTCAAGTCAACAAGCCTCTTATTTGTGCTGCGTCAACCATTCTTCACCCCAAAGCGCGCAGCTCTTGTGATGTGACGGTCACACAGACACATGGTCTTTAATCATAAGACCACACATTAGCTTTCATTCTGACACGACAAGCCAGCGTTACTGAGTTGGATTATAGTGGCAATGTCCCTTTTATTGTCCAATCAACGCAAAGTGCTGTTAATAGCTGTCAAAGCGCTTAATTGAGGCAGCAACTTCAGTAAAGCTAAGTAAGAATGGGAAAGCATTTACGAGAGGAATCGATTGGGTATCTGCAACAAACAACCATATAACTTAACAAGGTGTCTTTCTTATTTAAGGCAGAGAAAATTTAGAGAAAAAAAAACAATACAATTAACTTCCCATTGACTTTAAAAGTTTCACAAATCGAAAAACCTGCTGTCTCAATTTGCGAAACCCAACTACGAATGAGAAAAATAGGAGCGAATATACTCAAAAACAAAACAAGTTAACCTGAATTCGAAAGTGTGTGTGTGTGTGTGTGTGGCGGAATGCATATCTGGTAATGGATGAATTCCCACTTACCACCACGCGATGCCGTCTGCGAGCGAACGAAAGCCCTGAGGTCTGCTACGGAGAAAGCTGGTCATGCTGTACAGGGATTCGAGGGCAGTGCCTAAAAAAAATTAAGTGACATGTAAGCAGGTAATCAACTAATCAAATACTCCTAGGCAGACAAGCCCACGCAGAACACACCCTCTACTTTCAATGACCTGACATTTGCACACAAGATAACGAAACACACCTTCCGTGAAGTGATTTACGATACCGGTGCCAGTCGAAGACGCAGAAAAAAAAGGCGCCAAAGAAGGTATTGGTGAAAAAAATTTGAAAATAATTGAACTGCTCCAAATTAAAAAGCGAACATCACCAGTTGGGAATTTGTAATTTTGAAGGCTGAATCTTGACAATGATCTAACGACGACCCACGTTTGCACCAAAACCGGTTAAGACTACGTGACATTTTAACATCAAGTCAAGCAAGTGGGACCGGTAGAATCAGGCTTCAGCATGACCAATCGGCGCCTTTACGACTAAAGTGCTCACTTGCACCCGAAATCTCGAAAACGTGGAAAGAAACCGTGACTCGGATACTTCAATGGAACCCTAAGTTTAGTTAAATGATCAGAGAATATAAACATGGATCCAAAGTATTACATAGCTACAAGCCAAAGCATTCTACAAGGAAGTAGTATTCAGAAGTAGGCGACAGTCACACATCATCACACACCTTACTAAAAGAGGACTTACAGTAGACCTCAATTAAACTAATGGCAGTCGAGCGTCTACTTTTTAAAAGCCTGTGAGACGGATGCTATGGTTTGCGCCAACAATGTGATGGTTGAACAAATAACGTAGGCGTATCAATAAATTACAAATAAAGAACTGAATTGCTTATTTCAAGTAAATACGCATTTAGGAGAAAGTTTGTGTGTCCAAAGGCACTAAAAGGAAGCAAACTAATACAAAATTACCCAAACGAGGAGGCGCATAAATGTGAAGACCTATAAACGGAATTTAAACAGAACTCTATGCTTGGGAGCAAAATGGGTTCAAATTTGTGGAAATTGTCATTTTACTTAAGAGCAATTTAGAAGTATTAGCTTTTATAAACTCAAATGACCTAGAATTTTAGTGAAAATACTTGGTTTATAAAACGGCAGATAGGGTAAATAAAATTATAAATTTGGCAAGAATGTAATAACAGGATCAAATACATACCTTCGACAACGTCTATAACAACGAGTCCAGCAAACGAAGGAATTGCTCGCTTTTGAGCAACATGAACAGCAACGGCCCCGCCCATACTAAAGCATAAAAACTTTAAGATTAATGAGATCGAGAGATATAGGGACATGCAAACAGATCAAAAAGTATATTATCAAATAAAGCCCACATCCGACGACCCACCTGTGACCAATCAGAATAATAGGAGGTGCTTCTGTAGGAAACATGGCAAATATAATTTGAATTATATCGTTGGAGAGAGTTTCAATAGAATAATCATCTTCATCGCTACATCGAGTGTCACCTAAAAAGACGTGGACGACCAATGTGCGGTAAGTTTAATGCATACCGTGACCGCGCATATCAACAGCGAGACATTGACAACGGACGTCATCTGTAATTGCTTTCTAAGTAATTAAGCATGGGAATAAGGGTGAACATACACTTAGCAAAGACCACGACAGAGCAGAAAAGCCGCCACCATGAATGAAAAAAAGTAATGGACCTTCCACACCTCTGCGATAAATCCGATAGGTCTATATTG